GTGTAATGTAACTCTCAGGTTTGTAAGGCTGAACAGCAACCTACAGTACAGTGCGACTACAAGATTCTTGAGAGCAAATATTTTGGGATGTGTTAATGCGTAAGAGTCTCATACAGGATTCCTGCATTTTTTCCTTTTGATCGTCCAGTACAGCTTGCTTTTCAATGAACACACTATTCAAATTAATTGTTTTAAAGAAGGGAAGGTAGTTGGACAGAAGTATTTAAATACTTCCCTTCAGAGCATCTCACAGACAAATATTTGGGTTTTGTTTTTTTGTTTGCTTTTAATTCTTGGAAAATGATTTATACCAGTTATGTGATTCTGTTGATTCTAAGCACAGACTCTGAAGAAAATACTGTGTCCTTTAGTCAAAGAAATTGGTTACAAGAAGGATATCTTTGAGGCAGATTTTTTTAAACTGACTTTTTTACATCATGAGGTTTCCATTCCATATAATAATCTCTGTTCTAAATTAATCCCTAAAGGCCAAATATTATTACCATTATGTTAGAGCCAATGTTCTTTTTATAATGGAAAAGTTTCCTCAAAGAGTTGATAGTTTTTCAGCATTCTGGAAGTCAGGCTCCATATTAGCTCTTCCAAAGAAGAACACTGCCTACAGAGATGCTTATCTGGTGAACTTTGAATGTTTTGTTTTGTTTTTTGTTTTCTCTTTAACTCAGTTGTTCCAGTAGAACACAGCTGTTTCAGTGGGTGGAAAGTGATGATGTGTCCACAGAGCAAGAAATGGTGCTGCAGATCCCAGCCAGTGGTTTAAACTGAGGAAGTGGACACAAGCCAGTAGAGGATTTATATAACTTCATTTCCTTTTGTACTTTATATTAATTCCCTTCTTTGTGGTGCATAACATTCTGACTTTTTAAAATACTGATAGAAATGTAACAATAGAGAGGACACCTGCTTGGTGTCATTTATCTGACTACCATTTTATAGAAATCAGAAACAGATAGCAAGCTCTGTCACTCAGCATGAAATGTTCCAATTCTGGGAAAAGTAAACCACTCATTCATCAGTTTAACTACTAAGCTGTTTTCCAGTCCTGCTTTTCAGGAACACCCAAAACTTGTCCTCAACCTTGTCAGTGTTTGGAATAAGCAAGGAATGCAAAGCTGAGCCTGGAGCTGGTAAATTCTCCCTTTTGCTAGCCTTCTTTCCATGCTTGTAGATTTACCCAAGTTCAGCTAGATTCTATGACACTTGTTCAAATCAAGGTTAACTCTCAGCGTTTTGCTCAGGATTTGCACTAGTTTCCCTAGAGGAATAAATTGGTCTAATAATATTACATTCATACTGGTGGAAAAACACACCAAAGCACACTAATAACTAAATAGAAAGTTAAGATAATGTCATTGCATTTGTGGATTTGAAGGAATTAATCACGTGGAGTCCACTCCTCTGAGACCTCAGATTCTTTGGCCAAGGTTTCTTTTAGCTTTTAGGAATTTTGTCCATTATGTAGTTAATTTGCTGGCCGATTACTGAAAATGTGAGGCTTCACATTACAGATAACCTGGGGTTTTAGAAGCTGTGATTTTGGAAATGCTACATTTTAATCTGCATGCCTTTTTCCTGCCAATTCTTTCCTTCATGCTTATGTGGTCTGACTTGATTCTAGAAGGAAAATCAGGACTGTATTATTTTCAGAGATTACATATCCTTCTCCCCCCCACCTCGAGTTGTCCAGGATACTAACGCTTTCTCCTGTGCTATGTGTGAGTGAAGCAGTATCATCTACCGTCCTAAAATAGCATGTGATTTGGAATCTTCTTGTATAAGTAGTGAACTCTCTCTGTATCACCCCTACGAACTTTTCATAAAGAATCAAATCTCCATGGTTACGGAAAAAAACACCATAATTTAAAAAAATACATATTTTGAGTTTGGTTTATATTTATCTGAAGTCCTGAAATCTGCATTATTCTCCTGGGGTTTTTTTATAAAATTTCTTAATATTTTTTTTCTTTAATCCTCTCAGGTTAATTGGCATTTGAACCTTTCCATCTACTTAGGAGTTCTTTACTATATTCTGTCAACAGTAGGAGTTTTTATTAAGATGTATTCTGTCTAATTTTTCTTCAGAGGAGCTCTTTTTTTGGAGGATCTTGTCCTTTTATGGTCAGGTTTTCCCAGTAGACACTGATTGCCTAAGTCTTCTTGCTCTGATTGTTCCTGATGCAGGAAATTGAAATGTAGCCTTCAGGTTCAACTATGTCCTGTTCTTCCAGGATTGTGTTCTAAAATGCAGACAGAACTTTTAAATCACTTCATTATAGGCATCTGTATTCGTTGAGATAATTCATAACTAGCTCAGTTGCAGGAATTGGGTAGATTATAGAAGTGCAAAATACATCTACATTTCTGTGTGTTTGTTGCTACTGGAAAAGGGCGTAGATGTACTCCCACCTAATGACTATCTAGAATTCAAACAAATATTTCAAGCTCAGGTTTTGCAGTAGCCAGAAATTCGTCTTATAATAACAACTCACAGTTGCTCACAACTCCTTCCTAAAGTGTTACTTATTGGATTTGATTTTGGTGTTCCTTGTGATTGCATTTATTACTGGGGGAAAAAGTAGGACTCATTCATCTAGAATGGATTCAATTCACCTTGAATGAGACAAAAATTGGCTTAACATGCAAATACATCACAGATGGGTCTACAGTGATGACTGGTGGGGGAATGGTATTTAGGGATATGAAAACAGCCAAGATCTTGTTGACTGAAAATAGAACTCTATACTTTGAGAACGCAGGTTTATTTCAGTTGGGCTTCTCAAGAAACACCCACTGATGAAGTTTGTGACAAATAGCTAAACTAAATTTGCAAATGCCAGCATACTTGAAAGGTTCCTTGATCATTGCTCAATAGGTTTTATCTGGTCAGTTGTAAAGTAGTTACACTTACCTATAATTCCTCAATTTTTCTTTACCCAAATTGAACATGTTTTTAAATCTTTTAACTAATATGAGTTATGATGCTACAAAATATTCTGACAAGAGAATATGGGGCTAGTGTAAACTGTACAGTGATTTGCAAATTTTCTGCTTTTCTAGAACAGCTGTCTTTTAGGATGACCTCCTAAGAGCCCTTTCAAGGGAATCATCCTGCTTTTCTATAACGTGCAATAGAATTTTATTTTGTATGAGATGATATGAAAATCACACACTCTTCACTAAAAGCTTCCACCAAAACTGGGTTTTGAGAATGAATTCCTGTGAGGTATGGATAAAACATCAATTGACATGGTCCTGAGTAATCGAAACAACCTTTCTGAGGGATAAGTGAAAGTTTTTAGATCTTTATTTTATTGTTACATAAATAAGGCAGACAGAATGAATACAGTTCATGACCAAGACAGAATTGTAGAGTAGGGATTTATTGATGCTCAAGTTCATTAAATTGTATCAAGTGGAAGTATAAAATGAGCAGTGTCACTTTAAGCCTACAGTAGATCTCAAGCTTCAGTATTAGATAAAATCTAGCAAAGTAGATGTAGCTGTACACATTGTGTTTAGTTACACACATTCTGCAAAGCTTTTAAAGAGTTGAACAATATTAGCAGCTTTAAATTTAAAACCCATTAACCATTACCCTGTTGACCAGCTAAATAGTTTTTCAGCATTCCTTTAGGGCAGTGCCCCTTCATTCTGCCATGGAAAACCAGATAGGTTTGTGGGCTAAGCTAAAAATGTTTGGGAATGATGGAAGTATCATTGGGTGAGACAACCTGGATGCTTGCTCACTAAAGCAGATCTGGTCAAACTATAGAGATTGCCACTTTTTCAGAATCTAAACAGTATTTTGCTTTGTTGGTTTTTTTTTTCTTTATTTTTTTGTTTGTGTTTTGGGTTTCTTTGGCTTTTTTTTTCTTGTTTGTTTAAGTTCTGTTTTTTTGGGGTGGGTTTGTTTGTTTGTTTGTTTTTCCCAAATACTTTTTTAAAGTTAGCTACTGCCAGAAGATTTTTATTTTTCAATTGTAGTCTGGCAAAAGTGTGTGTGTTGTTACAATCAGAATTGTAAAAAAGCTCCTTCAGAGTTCTCTTGTACATCAATATATACAGCTTCTTTCCTCAAATGGTAAGGTTTGTAACTGATTGCCTGAATCTTGACCCAATGCAGTGTGAACTATGGCTTCATTGAAAGTGGACCACCAAGTAATTCTGAAATTTGCAATATCACAGTATCACCTGTTTCCAAATCAAACTTGGCAGCTTCAGGTGAATTTTCTTTGAGTTGTGATGAACAGAAGGTTTAAATTACAACCCCTGAAGAACATATGTAGTGAGAAAGTTATTTTGTCACAGACACCTTTGAGTAAAATCCTTAGAATACCACCACTTCCAAATCTGCCTCTCTGGTTTTGTATTGACTTATGCCACTTAAACCTTTCTGTTAAACATCAAACAACCCCCCAAAAGCAAAAAGCTCTGTACATTGAACTAAGTAATGGTCTCGGAATTATGGATTGTTATGCTTCACATTACCTCTTTTGACCTGGAGATTCTTTTGGTACATTAAGAAGACTACTGTTTAAGCAAATATTTACATGGATGTCCACCCATGGACAGATGGAACATGTTAAAAGCATGTTCCACCTATCCTAACCAGTTGCCATGGTATAAAAAAAAATAATATTAAATTATGCATCTTAATTATTTTTAGTTCATTAACATTTACGGGAAGCTCCAGTAATCAGGATCTACAGAAAAAGGTTATTTGTAGCCTCCCTCAGAAAGGACTAACTTCTGTTCACATGGAACTGAATTATTCTTCTGTCTTAGTTTTGTGGGGTTTTCGTTTTCATTTTCATTTCACTGAATGATCTGCGTGTTATAAATAAATTTACCAAAGTACTGCTGAGCTAAGCAGAGATTTATAAATAACGCCACTGAAGGGAAAACATGAACTTACAAAGCACATTTAAGAGACATTGGCTACCTACGTCCTTATCTTTCATATTCTTCTATTTCCTTAGATCATAGATGAAGAAGAAACACAGTTCATGAGCAATTGTCCCGTTGCTGTTACTGAGAGCACACCTAGGAGGAGGACACGCATTCAAGTGTTTTGGACAGCTCCTCCTGCCGGTACAGGCTGCGTAATTCTGAAGTGAGTATTTTAAGGCATATTAAACTAACCATTAAAGGAAAATTAGTTAATAATGAATCTAATATTTATTAGATTAGGAACTGCTGGTGTTCTTACATGTTTTTTTCTTCTTTGACACGTTGTGTCAAGGGTAGTATTACTTGCACAGTGAAATGTTAGCAACTTGAAGCCCAAGTAATCAAAGTTACTCCATGCCCTCAATAACTATTGAACTGGTAACCCTAATTGAACTGGGTAGGCTCTCTGTCGTTTATTTTATGTAAAAATCTGAAAATTCTGAATCTTAAAGGTCAAATTTGCATTATTTCATTTGAGATTTGGGTAAAACACACGATCTTAATTCAGATGATTAACAGGGACTTTCTGTACAGTTAGGATTTTCTAAATTGTCCTTTATCGGTAAAAACTGATCTACTTGTTACAAGGTGAATGCTTTGATTTTCGAGCTGGTGATCTGATGTTTTTATATTATTTCTATAGGCTATTTTAAAGCATGTGCATCCATGCTTTTTAAGCAACAGATGAAAGTAACACTATGTAGGTGCACTTTGCTTTAGGGCTGCTCATTTGTCTGTAGACACCTTCAGGCACTTCTTACTATGAAAAGTGGCAGAGGAAACGGCCAGAGAAACATTGTCCTATCTCTTAAGATTTTGCTTGTCATATTTAATAGGACAGGTTGGTCAAATATGCATGGACAATTGGGATTTATTTGCTTGCTTTGAATCAGTGTCTGTGATTAGCCTTTGCAACTGCCAAAATGTGCCCTGCAGTAGACCAAAGGATTTCAGATAGTCTTATCAGTACTGGGGGCACCTCCAGAGACATAAACAATTCCAGGTTTTTTAAGGAGATGCTAGCATAAAGGTTGCACAGAAAATAGTTCACTGAAATTCAGAAAAATGTGTTATTAAAATTGCAGCTGATTTCTGAGCAGGCTGCAAAATTGCCACCAGCAAAATTGGTCCATGACGTGCTCTCACCCTTACCCTGTGCTTCACGTCCTTCTCCTTTTGGTGGTTATGTGAAAAATGCAAGCTTATTCCCAGGGGTTTTAACGAGCTCCAAGGGTGACTGCCCAATTCCTGAGGGCAGTTCAGAGAAAGAATGAAACAGTCACTGATAGTACAAGTTGCTGATGCCAGATACTAACATCATAAAGTGGTATTTTGTTTGTGTTGTGGTGCAGTCCTCTGTGGCATCTTACATAGCAATCACTGTGGTTTTGGCATTAACATTTGCATTTTTGATTTTGTATGTAAAGCTTTGACCACATCCAGATTAGAATTTACAGTCAGCACTCTGTAACCCTTCTTTATTGTCAGCTCCCATGGAAGAGCATAGACATGTTGGAGGCAATTATCAAAATTATTCTGTCATTTTTGAAAGCTTAATAATATGATAAAAATGAAGGTCTAAAAGCAGTTATTATATTAAATACTTAAGTCCAAATTCATAATGGAAAAATCCTGAAACCTTGACCTTTAGGGGAAACAAAAGCCATCTGTATTTTTCTATTTCTGTGTGTGATGGAGTGTATGTAGCTTTTAATTATCAATGCATATCTGTTTCAGTCCTTGGAGACTGTCTGATAATTATTTTTTTTTCAGTATTTCCAAACCAGAATGGCAGCATATTGGAGCCTGTTCTGAATTGGAAGGATAGACTTTTTCCTTTGCACAATTGACTTCAATATATAGAAAAGTTAAACGTACTCACAAGTAAAACATAGCGATGTATAAAACTTATTATGGTTGCAGTGCTAAATACTGGGGCTTTTTTTAGGTTTCTAATGGGGCAATTAAGTATAGAGGCTTCCAGGAAGTTTTTCCTGGACTAATACTGTGGGTTGGGAAAAAAAATAATTTTTTTGTTTGGTTGGTTTTTAGGTCATGGTCTGTAAAGTCTGTTACCTGTGATAGAAACAATTGCCCCTGTTTGACTTCTTTTCAATGCTTTCTAGGCTTAGTGATCAGTTTGGTTGTGACAAGCATAATGTAACACAGAAATGGTAATTTGCAGTTCTAGGGTACAGTAAGGGATGCTAAATCTTTTGGCACTAGCACATGTGTATAATTCTAGCTTCCTGGAGGACTGAAAACTACAATGTTTAGGAGAACATGATCACTACTTTGCTTTCCAAAACATCACTTGCTGTGCGAAAGCTTAGAATTGAGGGGAGGAAGAGGGAAATAGTACAACATTGAATGGTAATTCATAATTGCTTAGCCAGGAACAATTCATCCATTCCTTTCATTCCCACTACGTGATGACAGTGAAGTAGCCTAACGGTTCGAATCTTCCAAGCTCTTTACTAAACTGCCACTGTGCTGAATGTGCTTCCAGGATGCAAACAGTAGCCAAGGCTGTTTTTCCGAAGGCTATGCTTGAGTCTCGCTGAAGACACGAGACTGCTTAGGTTTCACACAGTCCTTAGGAGACCCTCCAGCTTTAAGACCTCTTTTCACTTTCCTGATGTATTCTAGGAACACTGTGCAGCTAAATCCAGTTATAGGAAGGTGCACCAACCCCAGCATACCAGCTCTTGAAATTATTTCTGCAAATGGATGGGGATGGCTTCGGACACTGCAAGACAATTTCAAACACCTTGATTTTTAGAATGACCTAATGAAAATGGAATGCATCGTCAGGTGTCAGTGTAGTGAAACTCATCACAGCACTAGGTACTTGAATGGGAAGTTTTGCTATGTGGAACAAAGTTATTATAAAAAGATAAATCAACAGAATGCTCTTGGGTCTTACGTAGCAATAAGGATTCACTTGGCTGCCTCAGGAACTGTGCTAGCTTCAGAAGTTACCCGAAGCTATCAACATGAGCAGGAAAGTATTTACAACAATATTTTTCTTGCTTCTGTGGTTAAATGTATGTATCTGGACCATTTGAACTGTTACACTGTACGCAGTCTACTTGCATGCATGTTCAGAATTCAACATCTTCTTATCCTTACTTGCTTTCCCTTGTTTCTTGTGATTGACTGGATGCTAAGGTGCCATGTAATAATATGGGAGGATCAGATCATCGCCTTTATTTTCTGTTAAAAATTTCTGTTCTAAAGCCTATTTACTAGATTTCTGGGCACTTCAGAAAGCATTTGCTTTCTAACATTTATAAGCGGTCATTAAAAGTTACTCAGCAGTGATGGAGAATCACCTCTTTTAGGCCACATCTAGCCCCATATTCCTAGATTGGACTGATAAGTTGGATTCCTCCAGATAAGGTGTCTCTGAGCAGGCAGGTAGAGGTCTGACCCTGTAATTGATGTAAAACTCAGAACAAATAGTTTTCTGGAAGTACTGGAATGATATATACATACATACATACATATATATATACACACATATGTATAAAATGTATACTAGATTTCCATTGTATAATACAAGAGTGAAGAAAATGTAAATTGTCTTAGTTGTCACATATTAAAATTTCATGGTAGGAAGAATCTTGTTAATATCCAAATTGATTCTATCTGTCAGCTGGTGCAGATCTCATGGAGTCAAGTATTGCTAGATCGTAATTACCTTTTTCTCCTTTAGCATTTGGTGATTTTTTGCTGAGTCTCAGATTAATTGTTAATGTAGTGAATGATGACTGTATGCAGATAAGTTGTATTCAATTTACCATTTAGGAAAGAAACCACAATCCTTTGATTGGCTCCTGGAATAATTGAGTTCTCAGGCAATGGATGTGACTTGTATGGTAAATATAACAAAAGTTCTTGCTGACAAGTTCCTTCTTTCTGCTATACGTATAATTAAACAGCCAAGAAATTGAAACCTGGTATCTGTAAATAGCGTTTATTACCATTACTACTTGCAGAAATCATTGCATTTACATAATGTCTCTACTGTATGTTTCTAGAAATATTTTCTGAGCCATCTCCAGGGAATTTTTTTCTATTTTTTGAGGAAAATTGTGAAACATTGTTTTTCTGCATATGTAACGATCTCCATGATTTTAATTATATCAAGGTTTGCTTGTATGTAGTCAGAGAGTAGAGGAATTTTAATATAAAAACTATGATATATTTAGTAGATCAGGTATGTATTGGCAAAATCTTTTAGGTAGTTGTGCTATTGTAGCAAAGCTACCATAACTATGAGAACAACTTCACTGTACCAACCTTAACTATTCTATGATTCTACAAATACTCAAAGTATAAAAGCAAGCAACAAAAAACCCTTCTTGTCTGAATTGGATATTTAGCCTGTTATTCAGTCTTTTCCAGTTATCCTTTCAGTCCTCCTGTGCAACTGTCCAGATACATGTCAACAATTTTATCTGCCTGTTTGTTAGAGTGCTAATACTGGAGCAGTTAAGCACAGTTATAAAGCATTTACTGAAAGCTTTCCATTATGACTAAATATAATGGCCAAGAAGACACGGAGAATAATCTCTCTGCTTTGCCCAGCAAGAGCTTTTAGTACCAATTATATACAGTTTATGGAAAGATAGAAGGTAACAGTTCTCATATTATAAATAGCTATATTGTTTTTCCCAGTGGAATTAATGTCTTCTGCATGCAAATGATCAAAATTCCTGTGCTAATCTTTAAAGAAATACAAATCTGTATCTTCCAGTTAACCTCTAGTTGACAGCAGCAGTAAACAGCTTCTGAACTTAATTTTTCATAGAGATAATAACAGCATAGCTTAATATTTCTTCGTGCATAGCTTAAATATTTTACGTAGCCACTTTCTGTATTTCTGCACAATTAAGTTAGCAATCTAAGATATTTCTATACATCCTAACAGTCCTTAGAACAAATGCAACCTTTGATATATAGAAAATGTGAAGTTTCCATATGCAATTCTTTTTGACATGCTGTCATTTTTACCCTGCTCTTCACTTTTAGAAGCTGATGTAACAGAAATGCACACAGCTTTAAATGGCTACGGGCATAGATTGGAAGTGAGTAGATTTGGGTCCATTCCTATTTTTCACACTTGGTTATTACAGCTCAACTCATTTTTCAATGCCT